TGAAGTGTGTGTTTGAAGATTGGCTTGTGCAAGTTGTTCCATTACACAAAGGCAAAACTACAAATGTGCCTGAAAGATTGAAAAATTGAAAGGTTAATTTGAAATTCTAAATTTGCTTCCCTCCTAACAGAAGAGTTTCAAGCTGTCAACTTTATGGTAAATATGATGGAGAATAAAAGGGAAAAACTTATCGACAACCTTTGGAAAACAAAACTTGATTATAGCAATCAATCAATGTGAAGATCATGAAACCGAAATGGCAAAATCTGCAGAACAGTTGCAGCTTATATGACTCCTCGGAAAATTGCAAAACTTCCAGTGATCAAATAAATATATATAATCATATGGATATTAAAAAATAATAATAATATCTGTCCTCGTTATTAAAACCAATACTTAAAACATTCCCCAAAATCAGAAATAGTAACCATTGGGAAAGAGGCCAGTGCTAAAATATACCTCACGAATGGTCATAAGGCTTGGCTTGTCTCCCACTGGTGGAGTTTGATTGCACACAACATGGCAAATAGGCAACCTGGAATATGTGCCATCACACAAAATACAGCTCCGACCAGCAATGATGTCCATCTATGCCCCCCCACGTTTTTCTAGTGGACGAGAATATGGATCAAAATATAAGTAAGATATTGGAATGCCTAAGCAATTTTTGACACAGTAAAATCTGACAGTGAGAAATAACCACTGGCAATATCAAAGAGCATCTTTGAGAGGTTGAAAAAACCATCTATAACCACTGGCAGTGAGAAATAAGGACGTAATTCTTCCTGTAGAAATGAGATGCAGCAGGAAAGGAAATTAGACTTCTCCACACAAAAGTAAATCCATAGAGGTAAAAATTTTAAAAATTAAAAAAAAAGGAAAAAGAAAAGAAAAGAAAAAGAGAGAGAGAGAGAGAGAGAATAATGCAATTAATATAACAAATATCAGTGCATTCCTTATGTCTTCAGCTGTAACCTGGATTCAAACTTTTAAACCGTAGGAATACGATCACATTGTTTGAATCAGTGAAATTAATAATAATCCATTTAGACTGGGACCCAAACAAAACAAAACTGGACATCAAATTAAACCTTTTCAATTAACCCAACATCAAATTAAACAAACTGAACTAGACATCAAATTAAGTTTGGCTGAGTTGAACTGGATTTTTCTAACAAACATTCAAAGAATCTACTAACTATTTCTATTTGGCAGATCAACAATAATTATTGATTTATTTTCTAGTGGTGCATTTTCTTGAGAAACAAACGGAGATTACCGAAATTTTCAATTATAAAAATAAATAAAATAATGAAGGAGCAGTAGATCAAGCCCTTATATGATCATTACAAGTAAATCAAACGAAAATATAAAGGGGGAAAAAGAAAGTTGGGTTTAATTAGGGTTTAGTTTGACCTTCCAAAAGATCCATGGAGTGGCCTGAAGAGCTCTAATGCAGCAAATAGGTGAGATTATGGGATGAAATATCACAACTTCTCATACAACTATTATAGATAGTATTCAGCATGCTTGGTTCCATTTTTTCAAAAACACTTTTCAGAAAATTCTATTTTTTTATTTTTTGTGTTTTTTTGTTTTTATTGATTTTTTTTTTAATATTTTAAGAATTTTTTTTACTTTTTAGACACATCTAACATAACTACATTTAAAAAGTAAAAAAAATATAAAAAAAATCTTTTAAAAATTCACTAAATATAAAAAATATAAAAAAAAAATACGAGAATTCAGTACATTTTTTGTATTTTTATGTATTTATTAATTTTTAAAAATATTTTTTCACAAATTTTTTACTTTTTAAATACATCTAAATAAGGTGCATCTAAAAAAGTAAAAACAAATATTTAAAATTTAAAAAATATTCATTAAAAACAAAAAAATACGAAAATAAAAAAACTCAATTTAAAAAAAATTTAATCACAAAAACTCAAACCAAACACACTGATTTGGAATTAATTTTTAATTTTTTATCAAAAGATGTGGAAATAAATAATATAAATAGTTAAAAGTGGATAAATTGACTGAAATGTCCTTGTCATGCCCGTGACAGTCTGATGGCACTGACGCGGCAGACGATAGACCTGCAAGGCATCATGTGATATTTGTAAATTTTATTATTCAATGATAGAGACAACTAATTTTAGACCTTTAAAAAAATTATTAATGACATGACATTTAATAAAAAAGAAAAAAAATATAACATAAAGATCAAAATATCAAATCATTTATGGTGAGACTCACTGTCATATCATTAATAGTAGCACTAATTAGTATTGTTTATTTATTTATTTTTGGTAATAGACATGGACTAGAAAGCATTTATATTAATATATTAAAAAATCCGATAAAATAGTCATATAGATTATAATTTGTGTGATGTAATATTATTCATTTGCTAACATCACATTTTAATTTTAAAGCCAAAAAAATTATTAAATATTCGTTTGATATTGATTTTTTTTAGTTGATTTTTTTGTGTTATGACTTTTTAAGCTTGACTTTTTTAGTTTCATTTGGTTTAACTTTTTTGAAAGAAAAAATGTAATGATTATGGTTTGGATGTCACATTTTTTCTTATTGGATCATGTAGCCAATTTTATCTTTTTATGTTTTTTTAGCCAAAAATTTAAAACCAAACAAAGCTTAAAAAATTCAGAAATCCAACAAATTAAGTTGATTTTTTAACTTTTTGACTATTTTAGTCTGGAGTTAAAAAATCTCGTTTGAGATAGATTTTTTAGTTTTTTTAACTTTTGTGAAAAAAAAATGAAATGATCATGAGTTAGATGTGATATTTTGTCTTATTGGGTTAAAAAACTTATTTTGTCTTTTTGTGACTAAAATAGTCAAAAAGTTAAAAAGTCTGGCATGCCAAACGAAGGCTATATAAAAAAATTAAAAATTCTTTTTTCTCTCTACTTTTTACAAATCTTTTAATAAAAAATTACAAAGTCATCCCAAACATGCTAATTTTTTTATCTTATGTTTTAACCAAAAAAATCAAAAAAATTATTAAACTAACTTGTTTCCAAATGAGGCCTAATCATATGAATTGTAATTTGTGTGATATAATTGTTAATAGTCAAAACATTCTGATAAAATAGTCAAACAATTTTTACAAGTCTCTATTCCAAAGTCATGAACAAATCATGACCAAACTCCCTATAAAACTCGACTATTTTAGAAAATAAATATGAAACCTATATGACTTCACAAAATATTTTTTGGTGCAAGTTGTAACACCCAAAAAATTAGGCAGGATATATCTATTTATGCAATAAAACCCATCTGATAGACAAACACATATAGTTCCAATCCAAAACATGCATTTTACAACAAGTATGAAATGGAAGCCAAACAGATAATAAGTGCCCTACAAGCTTACAAATTTATCCAAGAACATTCGTGGTTACACAAAATGGAGTTTCAACTCAATGCGAATACAACCATGTGTAGACACCCCATTTTTTACCGTCCTCAAGACTTGGACGTCATCGTTTGAACACTCGATGATCATCCATGTTCGTGTTCGTCTTGAGTTCTCGGAGGTTTCGGCTGCGCGCCTTGCCTCAAGACCTCTCGGCTTGTTTGTTTTGTGTTTGGTTTTGCATCAAACACTTGTTGCTTTGCTTCTGAGGGGGGGAAATAGCTTGTAGGCCATCCCCACACCTCACCGGCCATGGCTTGAGGCCACCAGCCTTGTTTCCTTGCCACCGGCCGTTGGTGATGGCCAGTCGGCACTATTGATGGTCGGTTGGCATTGTATTTGGTCGGCCAGCCACTGATTTTGGTCAATCGGCCACTTTTTCTGGCCGAGACCTTTTCTTGAGGGGGTTTGAACCTTTTGAACCCTTGGTTCTAGCTTCTTGAGGAAGCTTAAACCTTTTGAATCTTTGTTCAAGCTTGAACCCTTTTGTCTAGCTTCTCCAAGAAGCTTGAACCCTTTGTCTAGTTTCTCCAAGAAGCTTGGCCCTTTTGTCTAGCTTCTCCAAAAAGCTTGGCCTTCTTGGCCCTTTTGCTCCAAGCTTCTAAGAGAAGCTTGGACCCTTCTTCCTCTATAAATAGAGAGCCTCTCCTTCCTTTTCAACGGTTGAAAAATTAGTCCAAGACAAAACATGTCTCTCTTGATATCTCTACATCCAAGCCTCCAAAGTGCTTGGTTCTTGGCCCCTTTGCACTACAACTCCTAAGCACACACCTCCACCACTCATCTAAGATTCTTGGAGGGTCTTGTGGGGACTCAAGACTTGGTTTTGACTCAGAAAAATCTGCTGGAGTACTGGTTTTGAAGAAGGTCTTCAAGGATGAGTTTCTAAGCCTTAAATCCCCCTTTCTTGCACAAGCTTTTAGCCTTACTTGAAAGCATTTTCGACCTTTGTCATAAACTGAAAAAAGTCTTGTTTTTAAGTGCTTTAAATAGTTGTTTAAGGTTACTTTTGTGTTTGGGATTGTTTACCCCCCCCCCCCTCTACCCCCCCCCCCCCAGGCCTTGTTTGGCCTCATTTTGTGCTATTTTTGGTGAGCTTTGGGACCACCTTATTTGGGCCTCCTCACCAATGAAATCTTGAGGGATTTCAGTGGTGAGAATGGTGTCTTAAGGTCCTAAGAAGGAGAGGGCCATCCCTTCTCCTTATTGTCTTCAAAAAGTGCCATTTTAGCCTCATGTGTGAGCACCATTTTTAAGTTCATGTTGGCCATGTCTTAAGTGTTATTTGTGCTTATTTTTCCATGATATAGCACTTTTTTTACTTGGTTTAGACACACCATGCATGCCTCGCATACTTGTCTTGTAATGCCATGAATTTGCCTTAACATGCTTTAGGCTGACCCATGTTCTAGCATGATTTTAGCCAAGCTTTGTGAAGTTTTTATGCATGTTTTAGTATGCTTTAGCTCTGTTTTTAGTTGCTTTGGTCATGCTCAACATGTTTTGTATAGTCTTTTTGCATTCTAGCTTGTAGGCCTTGAGTGTGTAAAGCCATGAACATGTTTTGCTTGATTTGTTTGGTTGGTTTGGCACCTTTTCTAGCATAATTTCAGAGCTTAGTATGCATGCCATGTGTCCATGTTTATCTCTTTTAAGTGTGCTTAAGAGTCCCTCCTTTATATTTAAGTGTTGGTCCATTTGCATGCATGATTATATGTGTACTTGGCCCCCATTTACTTAGCATTTGGCCACTGTTTTGGGCCTAGTTAAGAGTTGCCCAAATTAGTTTAAGACCATTCTAGCATGTTGTTGCATGCTTGCCCTCATGTTCATGTTGCATACTTAGCCTCCATGCCTAGGTTGCATTGCATAGAGCATGCATGCTTTGCCTCTTGAATTGAGTATGATAGAGGTT